ATATAAGGCTATTCATACAGAGGTGGTACACTAACCTATCGCGCCATTCGCGCTAAATTTTAACAAGACGATCACAGTCCAGTTTTTTTTTTATAGAAGTATGAAGTACAAGGCGCTGTACATACTGCACATTCAGATAAAGCACTTTTTACATACTCATTGAAAAATTTAATAAATTCACGTAATATTGAATAATAGAATTACTTATAGTCTTGTGAAGTAGCAGAAAAGTTGTGTCAGCTTCTTTTTCAGTAGGCTGTGTTCATTGTTATAATGATCATAGTATATGCCATTCCGTATATTTTTATACGAAACGTAGGAGTATATCATAAATGCCATCACCAACTTCCTTTGCATATAAGTATTAAGACTTTAATTACAATATCCACTTCAGGAGTGGATCCAGGATCATTTGAAGATGGGGTGGGGCATTTTTCAGGAGTGACAGTTTCAGGATGCGAAGCCGACCCTCGGCCTCCTTGGAGTGTTTTGGATAGCAAACAGTGCCATTTGGAATGGTTAAGAACTATAAATCAGCTAGTCAAAATTCTAATTCCAAGAGGGGATATATTAGTCTGACTTTTTCAGAAATCGAAGGGGGGTCAGGACCCTCCTGACCCCCCTCTAAATCCGCCACTGCACTTTCCGTAGACAGGCCACCTTTTGAGAACGCAGGTTTTAGGACAGGTGTCTTCACCAAAAGGCAGTACATGTACTTGCCTATCATCGTAGAGTAGTTGATCTGACTAAATGCGTGGAGGGACGCCCATGCACATTTTATCGACGTTATTATGTCAGAAAGCAGGCCATCTTTTGATATAGACTAGTTATGGGGATTGGGTATGCCTGGGTGGTCTTGTTGCTGGGACTGAACTTGCTTCTGGTACCGGGGACAAAACTTCACAGCGACAGTGTAAGTTAGTTTCACTTTCGTCACGAGCTAATACAGTCCGGCGACGATTTTGAGAAATAATGCAGAAATCGATTGTAAAAAATGTCTCTATTGGACATTCATGTTTGCTTCTCTGAAATTTCCGGCCTTGCTACAGTGTATGACGTGTTGTTGCGGGGCATAATTTAAAATTAAAATGGCGCATTAGAGATTTCTGAAATGAATTTTTTATGAGGGCAACATTTGTATATCTATACCGTATCTGGTCCTCTTCATTTTTCATATATATATATATATATATATAAGGGATATATATATATGAAAAACACATTAAAGCGCTATAACTGCACATTCTATTGTATAGGTAACAAAGTATGCCCCAAGGAAAAGTTTAGAATACGCAAGCAAAGGTTAGTGTCATGACAACCGAAGTAAAATGTTTTCGTTATCATACGTATTTAACGTACTATTTGTTTGTGGCCATTTTGTAATATGAAGAGTTTGAGAGACTATTTTTTTTGTCCCCTTGTGCAGTTAACGTTTCTACGTTTCCACTTTTCTGGAAATGATACTGATAAGGCTGTAAGTAAAGTATGCCTAAGTTCAGTAGATAAGCACAAGGCTAGGGTATGCAGTGTAGGTGCGGTTTCATGACCTTGACCTTCCTGTTAATTTTACGTTAATTTTTTCACTCCAGGGCCGCAGACCACGCCTCGGTTGTTTGAAGGCGACATTGTTGGCTTTAACCCCTTTGTGAGTATATCAAAGGTCGAGCCTGGAGGCCCACCACCTTCTTAAAACAAAATGGCAGATTCAGCCCGTCTCTTCCAAAAGGGATTACTCTCTTAGGACCAACAATGACGAAATATTATAAATTGCACAATGAAAATCGCAGAGAAGGGGAGTTTGACTCACCTTTCTTCATATCCAAGATCCGCCAGTAATATACGCAAAGATATACTGTATGTAATCATACCATATAATGTATGTTCCCCTATTAAATACCCAATGGCGAGAAAAGGAAAAAGGAAGAAAAGCAATTCTGACTGTTGAACAAACGGGCCACCTTACGAGAAAAAGATTATAGCTTTACCCATAGTTGTTCTGCTACAAAGAATTACTCTATTGTACAATTAACTAAGCTAATTAACTTCTTAAAAGGCTACAGTATTATGCATTGCTTCTTATAAAGTCCAGTATATATGTATCAGGGATATTAGTGGAAAACCTCTTTATATAGGATGATTGGTATACGTAAGCACGTATGTTGAAATCTGGATTGTACAACATGTGATTATAGACTTCATTCATTTTCAGCACCGTAATGCGCTTGCGGACTCGACCAAACTCTGGAGAGGCGGTTTTATACCAGTCAAACTGGACCAGACCCTCTGTAAGTTCTCTTCAACACTGACTATTGATCCTTAACTACCATATTACTTTGCTATATAAAATTTTAAATAAAGATCTTATAAATAAAAAGATTTTAGATATAGTATTTTTTCAATAAAGATGTTATTTTGGTGACGAAGAAATTGTACGTGTGATTTAGACAGATCGTTATGACCGAAACTGCCGCCTTGCTCTCTATTTCAGCATCCAGAGAACTGATCAGCATCCAAAATGCTATGCTCACCATATCACGACAGACTTGTGTACGCTTTATGTTGAGAACCAACCACCCGGACTTTGTCTTTATACGTAAAAGTAAATCAAAGTAAGGGAATTCGAATTCATGTTGTGCTCGCACATTTCTTTCATTCTATTGATATCTTTAGAGAATTAGAGGTAAAGTATTTTGATATCTTAACTTGCTTATTGTTGCCTGCCAAATGACCAGCACCAACTTCAATATTGTTAAAAGGGAAAATATTTTACATGGGGAGTAAAAAAGCAAGGAATGCGTTTCTGCCAACCCCACAAAGTTTTTGGAACATACTTTATTCATAAATGCATAATATTATTTGAGCTTGTATGTCGAAGTTCAAGGTCGTGGTTGGAACCGGTAAAACTGGATCATTTTGAAGACCTCTGTACTCTGTCTTAAATTCCACAAACCACCATTTTAATTTTACAGAACATATTGCAAAATCCGACCAGTCATTTCAATTTACTGTAAATATATAACTATGAGGCCAAAAAGGCTAATTTGAAAGTTTGAGGCGCAAAAGGGAAAACTTTTAAACCTATTTCCAGTCTAACATAGCCCTGGTTTGAACAATACGTTTCTGTTTAGATGTTACTCGTTCTTTGGCCGAAAAGGCGGCAAGCAGGATTTGAACCTGACGTCAGGATGTCTCAGGTACGAGCACCTCATCATACACGAACTTATGCACGCGCTGGGGTTCGTGCACGAGCATAGTCGTCCAGATCGAGACCACTACATAGACATCCACCCGGAAAACATTCGTCAGGGTATGCTATCACGTTATCTCCTTTTCACACAGCATTTATACCGTGCTCAAAATTCCATATACGTAGCATCAAAATGCCTTTGAAATACAATGTATAGAGGTGCTAATAATATAAGCTCACGAATAATCCACATGCAGAACGGTAAAAAAAAGTTTGTAACAAAGAGTATCATCGCGACCTAGATTATCTACTTCATTCTTTACAATTTTATTAATTATCGCAGGTAATTTCGTACTTTAATCTTTCATGCAAACGACTTCTGCTTTATAACGATAAGGAACTCTATGTTAGAAAGTGATATGTCAAAATAATAATTAAAAAAATAATAATAAAATAAAAAATACTCAGAAGCGTTATCCCGGCGAGGCTAGCTATTAAACTCGTTGAAAATCTAAATATTATCTAAAGGATGTTTAGAATGCAAACCATTCACAAAATTAATACATAAATAAAAAATAGGCTTTCATGTAAATATGTCAATTTCCACGGAATCAAACTAGACTGCAAATCAAAAATTGATCTGTGAACTTGATTAAAAATGCAATTTCTTTCATTTTCAATGTAAGATAACATGTAAAACCTCAAGGAACTGTAAAACTCCAGAAATCGGTGTTTTAAGACAAGCCCAAAGCCACCATAAATAATCTTTGTCTTTGCAGGTAATCTGAAAGATTTCGAAAAATTGCCGGTGTTTATCCTGTACGACCTGGGAGCTCCTTACGACGTAAATTCCATCCTACATTACGAGGTATTATACTACTACTCTTTTGCAACCGTGACATTTTTATACATGAATCTTTATTTTTCTTTTTGTCAAACTTGTTTCTTTAATTGTTATAAGTGTTATGTTTTTTAATTGTTATGATAAAACAACAGTTAACAGTTCCAGCTGCTAAAGGATGGGTGGGGCGTCATGAATAAACAAGTGGTTTGGATGGTTGGACTAGGAAGGGAGTGTAAGTAAGCGAGGTGTGGGGACAGGGTGTGAGCGAGAACGTGACCAACTGAATGAGTTAACTACTGGATGTAAGGGCGAGATTTTAAAGTCTTTTTGGAAAGTGACACCCAGCGCTTCAGAGATAACATGAAACAAACCTTTGCCGTAAGTTACTTGCAACGGCAAGGTGTGCGGTGTAGAGGTTTGTTTCAAGGCATCTCCGAAGCTCAGGGCGGAAAGTGAGAACCAAAAGCAAATAAGATTGTTGTTAAGCAAATCCCTGGGAGCGCATGCTTTTTAATGAGGGTTGCCGAAGCAAACAAGGGGATACAGAGAAGGGTGAAAAAGGGGGTTACCACGAGCTAGGCTGACCCTGTGCTTTCACTCATTTGCAGAAAGATGCCTTCTCAAAGAACGGAAAGCCAACCATCACCCCCAAAGACCCAAGCGTTACCCTCGGAAACACACGCATGTCCACCTGGGACGTGGTCAAGATCAACCGCCTGTACAGGTGTTCTGGTGACCAGTACGATATTGCTGGGCCCAAGATGCCACCACCACCACATGATCAACACCAGACCCCAGCACATCACGTACCACCAGTCGGGAGTCTCTTACATGGAGTTTTGTAAAACACAATTTTAACTAAGTATAGACGACTAAAACAAGTGCAGAGATAAGGGTATTAAAGTATGTAAACCTCATGCTTTTTGGCGTTGCTGTCTTATCTTCGTGTATTTGACAACAGGAAAAGAGTTTACTAGCACACAGTATTTTAATCATTCTGTTATATTATATTCAGTGAGAAACACACCATTTTTTGCCTTCACGTCAATAAATCAAACAACATTATGCTGACGGGATATGCATCTATTCTTCACCGTATCGACATGCGTCAGTTGCCAAATATGACTCGTTTTTGGAACGTCCTAAATTCGTTCCAGAATTAGTGCCTCTGGACTTCGGTACTTTTTGGCGATACCATTTCTTTCTACGAAATTGTTTTAAAATGTGCATAGCCAGGCATGTGCCATCTTGTATGCTTTTTTAAATAAATTATCACAGTTTTATAATATTTCAATGGTATTTTCGCCGTCTGTTTTGAACCCAACGTGCTATTTTCTCCGTTTAGAACTCCGTTTACCTGGCGTTGCCACCTCCCCTGTTATAGAGCCTTCATCTTGACTAGAGAAGTCAACACTCTCTGTAGCAACATCTTCGTGAGGCTGTGGTCTCTTTGTCGATCCCGATCCTTCTTGTTTTTCACTTTGCTTATCCTCCGAATGCGCGCGGCTTGACACACCTTCACCAAAGTTCACATGCCCGGATGGAACCCCATACTCGTGAGCGCTCTCAATATTCTTCTGCGTGTCGTCGAAAAATATGTGCGCTTTTATAGCGCTGAGGACAGGGCCCTTAGGTCGCCCGCATAGGAAATTGCACTCATTTATTTTGAGGCCCCAACTACGCAGAGTCTTAAGCGTCCGTATCCCAGAACCGTGGCTAGAGCTGCGGGCGGTCACGATATAGGTCCTGATGGGACTGGGGTTAAAGTTGGCATCTTCCAAACGCTTTTGCATCTTTCCTATGGCTACAGCAAACGGTTTAAGAGGCCCCTGCGACAAGAATTACTTAATTACAAAACAGAATTTCAAAAAGAACAACATTCATGTCTTTCGTAGGGCAGTTTGCACATTGATATTTATATTTAATCGTTTTGCCCTTTTTCTTTCAAAATTTCTTTGTGCATATGGCTTGTGATTTTAACACAGAATGACTCTCTAAAATAAAATTCATGCTAAATGATAGTATATAACCGTAGTCATATAATTATACTTTTAAGTAATTAAAATTACTTTGGACCATTTATGTGCTTGTTAAAAATTGCAAATAACATTTTCCCACCTCTGGCAAAGGTTCATTCATGCGTTCATTCTCGAAGTCCAGGAAGGCTCCCAGCCCCTTTGTCTGGAAGATCTGCTCAGCCTCGTCAGAGAACAACACGGCGTCGCAGTCAAATACGATCCTTAACTGGTCGACTGATTGGTTTTCTGCCATTTTTTGAGGAAAGATTGCTGCGGCACCAAATCCTTAAAGATGACATTAAACATTGATCAGTGGGAAAGCTCGACAATTACATTTCACTTTAGAACCGCTAGAATAGGATATGAACCAAGAGCCATTAAACACTAAACGATCCTGCTGTCAAGTTTTTTTTTTTTTGCGACATTTGGTGGACAAATGAGATCAAATGTACCAGAGGTTACTAGTAAAACCACTAAAACATTTGAAGTATATGGTGAAAGCTAGAGACGCCTTCTTGCCTGCTTTCAATGCTTCCTGAACCTCGTAAGTGTGTGACGACAGGTATAACGTGATGTCGTAAGCTTTCAGGTAACCCACGAGCGACGCTCCGTCCGTCAGACACATCTGATCAATCTTCAGCCCTGCATGAGTAGTGAAATACCAGAATCAATGCATAGTGAAGACGCAGTAGAATATGATCTTTTATTCACTTTTGACACCCTCGGTTTTACCTACTGTAGTACATGAAAGCAACTAAAAGGTTTGGAGTCCCACTATGTATATTAGCCCTTATTGTAAATATTCGATATTATCGATACTCTTAAGCATTAAAATGCGCGGCACCAACATCAAAATTACAGCACCCCCTCCTCGCGCGCCCACTCACCCATACACCACATACCGTGATGATGTATTGACCGTATAAGTCGTATTCCGGCAGTGTCTGCTTGGTTGTGGCTCATTAGAACGATCTCAAACAGCTCATTTTCAGGCGCACCTGCTTCTTTTAATTTTGCGTTCACTGTGTGGGCCGCCTAAAATACGAAGTGTTAGCTAAGGCATATTACTGCAAAATGTACCCTCAAAAACGATTACATTATGCCCCGGACTGGGTTGACTGTTAAAAAGTTTCGTCAGTCTTTTCGTTTCATTTGAAAAATGTTATGCAACGTTTTTGTGCTATCAATGCATGTTTTCCCGGATGTCGGAGCTAAAATAAATGTAAATTTATCAAACTAATAGATAATTCAGAGACTGTCAACTCACAATGGGGGACGTGGGGTTTTACGCTAAGTTATACCTTAATGAATGGGAACGCAGTTCCTGGTTCCAAAATTTCTTCCTCGTGAGCATGATGATACTCTGTGTACGCTTTCACTCCCTGCTCCTTGAAAATGGTGTATTCTTTGGTCTGATCAAACAGAGCACGACTGGATACAGCTATCTTCACCGCAGGCTGGGGAAATGGAAACAATTACTGATAATACAAACTAATAATGTAGAGATGTTATTTTATGTGGGATGATGTCTCCTACCATAATAAATGAGAATGACATTGTACCTTTGAAAAGTGCCCACCATTTCAAATTAAAACACTGAAATCAACTTTGTTTTGTAAAATCATTATCGTCGCATTATGAATATTTGTTTTAATGTAAAAAGAAATCTAGATTCGAATCAGTGACGCCAGGTCTATATTTTGACACGTATTAGGTTCACAACAAACTAGTATTATTTAGAAATTCAGAGGCAGATTCACATACATATTTACATTCGATGACCTGTATTGCTATTTCAACATACTGGAGGTATACAGTGTAGTATAATCCAAGCTAAAAATATGCCACCTTCATACGTCTTCCAGAAAGGTCGATATTTGGCTACAAAGACGGAACTTAAGCAGGGAAATATGCAATGACTGCAATGGGAGTGCACATCTGATCCCTGCATTCACGCCCCCCCCCTTCTATCACGCTTCTATCTCCATCCAGGTCCATTTCTTTTGTCAACTTCGTCCAATCTACATTGAACGTAGTAACATAAATGAGTAACCTTGTGTGAAATGTTCAAGCTGTTATGTATCTAAGACATCTAACGACCAATACGTTATGGCAAGGGCTCAAAAGCACACGTGAACACACAGACACATACAACAAACCTTTACTTCACATGTTCATCATCATGCCCCCCCCCCCCCACACACACACACACACAATGTAAGCACTTTTTAACCGATCAATAATGACTTTTGAGTCATTTTCACCTAGGGCAGAGGAAAACTGTCTTCTGTCCTAGTTTTAACCCGTTGTTTTAATTCAGTATTCCTTTAATCATTCCCAGTTTTAGCTCTAATGCCATGTCCCTCTTTATAATTAATCTCTGAGTCAATATTAATGATAATAACTATAATACCCATGCTGGTGAGATATGCGGTCCAACAGTAGACGAACTTATATTCTGTATGCTGAGAGCTTATTTGTGCCTTTGCGTGGTCCTCGGTGTCAATTTAGTCGACAACTGATACTGTGCACATACAGTGCAGGCCCACACAATGTCGAACCACAGTCTCTCTCCCCATTCAGACATTAATCTCAGTAATATATTAAGTCAAGGTCGACGAGATGACCTCGCCGCATCAAGATGCATTGCCCTTGCCAACGTTATCTCTTACCGTGTCTCTCGACCAGCCGTGCACCATATGATTCACATAGTTATAAGAGCATTTGTCTTATGTACATGTCGCTATACTTACCATGGTTATGTCGCAGTAATATTTAACCAGGGCATAGACCAATGGTTAACTAGGTCACGTTGGTAAATGTGCGCACAACTTAGACTCAGCTATACTAGGTCCAGTGCGATAAACAACGTCTGCGGCACACACTTATTTAATTTAACAGGTGTGTGTTTGTGTGTTCGCGTGCGCGCGAGCGCTGCATATGCATCACTTAGTGACCACTGATGATGTAAAGCAAGATTTTTACGGGCTCCTGAACCCACGAGAAATAACACAGTAGGTCCTGGGGGGTGCCTGAGCACAGTGACAAGCGAAGTCAGGGTATTTTTGTTATTCCATCTGAAAACAAAAAGTCAGAGAGAAACAAAAACTGGACTGAGAAAATTGAAAATAAGTGGTGATTTTGAAGCTTGAGACAACAAGATCATTTGTATTACAATGGTAAAAATATTGCCATTTCCGGAATAAAATTATTCTAATAGTTCTTTATAGGACAATGACGAAAAGAAGGCTGTCTTTACACTCCTCATACATGTTCACAAGAGGCTTATATAAGTTTAAATTTTCACTGCATGTCTACACTAAATTGTAGCTATTTGTTTTCCTCGTAAAACTTTCGGTTACTCCGTGACCTTTTTCAGTGTGTGTTACATTGAGACTGAGCACTATTCACAAATGTCTCTGAAAAAGTACTGTCCCATGCATGTGGTGTCCCCCGTCTCAGTTCAGGCTTGGGTTGTGGGCATAGATATAAATTGCCCCCTTAACCCCCCTCTCATACTTTTCACAGAGATTTTAGACAACTTCGTCGTTTTTATCGAAATTAATAGAAGTCGTGGAAAATTGACTATTTGTCGACATGATGATGCAGGTATCATCAACGTGAAACAGCAACAACAGACAATTACTTCCAGGTGTCAGGTCTCCTTATTTCAACTTTGCTAAACGCACGGGTTGAAATCGGAGTAACAATTATCCATATTTTTGAAGATGCGCGTATCATGAGTCTAGCCGTCCCTGTACCAAAAACGCTCTGATCAGCGGTCTCATTCAAACGAGAAAACAATGTTAGTAACCAGAGATTGTGAGTCCTTATTACTTATGAAGTTTGGCAAGGGCTACAAGTTTGCCTTCAAACAAGTAAATGCATCAAATGACTTTAAAAAGCATGAACGGATTATACATGTAGTAACCCGATTCTATTTGTCAGCTCGTGGCCTTATGGTGGGAAAAAGGCGCTGGTCGAGGGCTCCGTATGACGTGCATTTGCGGGAACGTACAAACTGTGGAACATGTTCATTTCCGGCTTAAAAGAGAAATTCACTAACTTGAGAGTTCAGATCAGTAATAGCTTTTTAAGCAAACGAATTTACTATATACATGTGCATTTATTTATTTTTCAAATTCAATTTCGACTGCTTGACTTGATGATTTGTAAAAGTGAAAAATGTTTATGCTTCTACTCAAAATTTAGAATAATATAAATAAAATACTTATCTATCTATCTATTGTATTCCCCGAGCCTGTAATCGAAAGGCCTTTAGTAATGTTCATTATCCATGGTTTTCAGACTTTTTAGTGCCAAATCTATTATGGACAAATGAAATGGTTAAAATTGATATTTCAGAAACGCAGCTAAACTTACATTTATTCCACATATATACATATATACATATGAACTTGTATAGACCATCAACATTATCCAAGAAAGCGGTGAACATGCCTTGGTCAACACGTTGGGTAAAGTTTGATAGTAGAAGTAGGACCAAATGATGTTTTCTTGTGAATAGATATTATAACACGATTCAGATTATTTGAAGCGACTGTGTTGCTCAATCACAGGCGTAACGGTTGCGGAGTATCAAATTAAATTGCAAGGACCAGGTACGTTTTGTCAACTGGTGATCTTTTTGAAATCACTTTCATTAGTTGATAAAAACAGAAGAAAGTTATGTCAAAGCCAAACGGTTTAACACGCGCGATTCGGGTAGATGTTCCAAATATCTTATTAGTACCAACAGCGTGACAACTGGCGGTACTCCTGGTTTTAGACCAGCCCCGTCTCGTACTGCTTCCCCGGTACCAAAGAAGTCTGATCAGCAGTCCGATTCAAACTGATTCAAACGAGAAGACAATACAAGAAACCTGAAATTGTAAAGTCCTTACTTATAATGTTTGGTTACAAGTTTGCCTTCAAGTATAATAGCCCGTGGGCCTGTAATCAAAGGTGTCCATTATGTATATGATATTCAGACAGCTTACAGAAATGTTTATCAGAAACTTTGTTATCATTAAAGTGACGATGGGTGAGAGCGTCAGAGCCGATACCATGACAATGCACTGGTTAAATTTGAAAATTCAGAGACCCCAGGTAATCACACACACGCACACACACACACACAAATACGTTTCAGATTGTCTGATTGACTTTCGTTGCTTCAATACCTGCAGAACGGTTGGGGAGGATCAAATTAAATTCGAAAGACCACTTGACTCATCGAGCGCGTTGAACTGACGAGCAGACAAACAACCCCAAAATTACCATAATTTAACCACGATAGTGCAAATTACTCAGGGATTTTAAAAAACACCTCAATTGATGTAATCGTTGCGCGAGTTATCCTGGCACGAAAACTGTCCGGGTGCGATTTGAAATAAGTGTTTGAAATAGAGGTAAAAATGTATATAAATTGGGAGTATTAAGCAAAGACTGCTTAAATTTATCTTACACGGTACATCCCACCATTGAAGTCGACGATGATGAAAATACTGCTGTTTGTAACGTGCTTAAGTCTGCTTATTTCAAGTGGAAAAACGAGGTAAATATATCTAAATAATAATTTTTAAAAAAAAAAAAAAAAAAAAAAAAAAAAAAAAAAAAAACAGAAGAGGAAAAGTTTATGTCAACTGGTGACATTTTTTTAAATCGCTATCATTAGCTGTTAAGAAAGTTGTGTAGAAGCAAACAGTTTTAACACTCGCTTTTCAGGCGGATGTTTACAATCTTTTCCAAAAATTCTGATAATTTACCATACGGTTTCATACACGATTGTCAGTGACCTCTAGGAAAACATTCAGGCTTATAACATTTCTGTCTTCGGATTTTCCATCATCCATTCTAGTCTAAATATTGATGTTTCCGTTTCTGTTCATTAACGTTAATGTAAAAAAACTTGTAATTTCATGTTGACCCTTATTGCAGTAAGAGGCAAGTGGATTGCAAGCCAGGAGTACCACTGTACCGCAGCGTTTTTGAACCAGACAGATTCACCATGGTCTCGGTCGAAGGCAGCCAAGAAATTAAACTGGGGCCTCGAGCAGAAACGTGGACCTACACCACAGACTTCGATGACGACTGCGACATTGACATTCTGGCCGGCAACTCGGGAAATGTGTATTTGCTAGAAAATACTGGCGACTCAAGCAATGTAAGTACATTGTACCATGTCCTCCAGACTGAAATTCTGGTCCTAGTTTTGTTTTAACCTATTTACAAAATCTGTTTTGTTGTGCTGTAAATATAATACAGACTTGCCATTTAATATGGAATATTTTTTTCCAAATCATTTTTCATCATTTTCCCTATTTTGCTGACTGATAAATTAAAATAAGGATTAAAATCGTGTTTCAGTAACTTTTAATTATCTCTTTGATGTCATTGTGACATCAGTTCATTAATGGAATTCGCCAGAGAAGCAAACAAAAACACATTGCCTATTCTGTATCATACGACACCATTAAAAAGATATTTTGGACCTCCATATTTCCCAAATTATTGTCTGTAAAAGAGTTACACACTCCACAAAGGACCTTAATGTCAGTGTCTAGTCACAGTATCGGTCGCTGTTACGCCTGACCTCTTCTGGCTGCTACCAGCGCTCACAAGTGGCAAGGCATACCTTGGGATAGGTTTTTAAAGTTAAATCTTGAATAACATTCCAGGCATCTGTCAAAATCTGTCCAATTCGGCCTAGTTTTGTTGTAGGACATGTAGGCCTACCCACATATTGTCTATGTGGTTCAAATATGGCGATTTTGATGACCAAGGTAGCTACACATTCCCTTGGTTATGTATGTAACCTGCTATTAAAAGTGTTCTTTGTGAACCGCAATCTCACCGTGCAACCTAAAATTGTTCCTAGGTTGACCCCTATCAAATGATAGCCAAGTGGTTACCATTGGTTTTTTGGCACCAATGTGGTATCCACTCCAAATAATGACGCTGTTAATGACATTAGTCACTTTAGACGCGATCCACCGTTCGTCGCTGGCCTCATCTGGATGTCTGTAAACTCTATTTTGACTGTTGAGCGGTTCAGTTGAAATCTGACCTCAATAAAGAAACCCAAGAGATTTCAGTGTTTAACCCAGAAACAGTCAAGGTCCCCAATTCATTAGTGAAACATACAACGATGTTTTACTGTTTACAGTGGGTTCCTCGGTGGTCGTCTGGTATTTTAACCTGCTAAAACCAGTTTGGTGTTCGCTAAGGGCCTTGAAAAATGCGTTTTGGTGGCAATGTACCCCTCATTCTGAACGGACTGGGTGGTTATTGTTTAGTTGCAACAGCATATTGCGAAAGACAGTGGGTGTACCCTGGTGGTAAGATTTCAATACATTGGGTGTAGCGTCTGTGTAGGTACATCAGTCTGGGTATTACTGATGCGGTCTGGGTATTACTTACTGGGTAAAACTGTGCGGACCGTTTCGTGTGGCGCAATTATCTGTCTGGCAATGCCTGTCTTTTTCGCGCCATTCTGCCACAGATTAACACATTTGTAGAGTACTGCATAGCTCATTTTACACACTGCAAACCCGACCACTTGCATGCAAAATTTCAAATTCTTCTATGCAGTAGTTGCCGACGTATGGACACTTTTTTTGACAGAATCATGCTTTGCTAAAGCCAAGCGTTGACCTGCCCAAAGGAGCACTATCAAATTAAATCATTGCATATATGAGATCGGAGTTTGTGAAAAAAAGAACGCATTTTCACCTAGGCATATACCTTCGAAACTGAAATATTCCATATTAAATGTCAAGTCTGTATTTCAACTTAGTTTCGGCCGTTATTTGCAGTCGCTAAGATTTTTACTTTAATTGA